GGACGGTCTCGCTTTCTCTGCAGGCAGACTTATGCTCAAATATCCTGATCTGTGATGTAAAGAGTGAATGATTTATTCTTTAATAAAACTATACCTAATAGCTTTACAATTAGTTTATCACCTAAAGCCTCCACAGTATTTGTAATCCTAGAGTTTGTGCAAAAATGATTTGTTGATTTGAAATTTAATAAACTATTAACATATTACAAAATTTAATAAATAATTGCTTCATTAAAGCCTTACCTGTATTCGAGGATGTTGTGTCAAAGACCATGCGTAATATGTAATAATTTTTGTTGCATTTCCAATCTATGAGTATATATATATGAGTAGATTTTTTGTTGCAACAGAAATAAAGTTACCATGTTTCAGATCAGCTTTTGTGAATTTGGCGTCTTTGGAATTTAGAATAGCCATAAGTTTTCCGTCCCAATATACCACCATTTTTTATATATATACCAGAGTTTTTGGTCTGATTGATATTGCCTGATTACTTTTCTCAGACTTTTATGTCTATTATTCAAAACATGTAAAAACAATTGTAAATAATATTCTATTTGTTCTAAAATATTTATGTGATATCATGTATCATCAGGGCCGGTTCAAGGATTTTTTTTTTGGCATATGCTAGATCCAGGTTTAGCATCCTCTACATAAAAAAATATGTGTTTTTATTATAGACTTATGAGGTCGTTCGCAAATTACGTCATGCTTTTACGGGGTGGGGGGGGGCATAGATTTTGTGACAAGCTGTGACAAGAAGCATTACTTATAACATATATTTTGTGACAAGGAGGGAGGTCTGAAAAGTTGTTTATTTGTGTGACATAAAAATAAAATAAATAAATTTTAAGGGTTATAATAAATATGTGCGTAAATCGCACATATTTATTATAACCCTTAAAATACAATAAAAACCTGATATCCTATTAAATATTTATCGTACTTTACATAAAAAACTGACTACAAAATTGTAAGCGTAATAAAAAACATTTTTAATCAAAGAAACTAACTAATCAAACACTAATCGTACATTCAAAAAAAATAAAACTAATCATCAAATAACATTTCAAAAATGAAGCGATTTAAATTGTATTCAGATTCTTCAATTGCTAATGTAGCCATCCACCAAGGCGGTCCTGAAAATGGGTCAATAGAACGTAATTTTTGATTTTCTTTAATTTAAAAAAACTAATTTCTCACTCATTTTTCACTCTTGCCGTTAGTTGTTAAAACGGAATGCATATTTTTGCACTTTTTTTCAAATGTATCTAATTCACGTTTTTCAATTTTTTTTATGTTTTAAAGAAATTCAAAATGTTTGCTTTGATTTTCCATCTGTTCAAATCTTTCTGGACAAAGAACTAATTGCAGTGTCTAAAACTACAAAAAAGAAATTTACTTTGAAAGACTCTTTTGCCGACTTTACAGGTTTATCAGTTAACTTCTTTAGAGAACTTTGGATCGGTGGTCAGTTTTCATCCAGTTCTATTTTATCTGTAATAACACTATACAGTCCGTTATTCTATCTCATGTTTTCCAAAAAAGTCTTGACACTTTCAATTAGTTTTGATGCGCTCAGCAGATTAACAATTTCCATCTGAAGTGTTTTGCTTACTAAGTTAAACTTGAAAAAGACATCATACCAAGTGACTAAACATCAGAGGAATTTGAAATCTGTAGTTTTTTTATTTTACCCATTGAAAAATTTTTCAAAGGCATCAATCATAAAATCTAACATGGATTCATAGAAGGTGTCATAAACCACATCAGTATTGTATCTCAAAAGTTCAAAGACCCAACGGATTTCACTGAGAGGTTTTACAGTCAGATTGTATACATGATTTGTAAATATATTCCATCTATGGGTTAATTTAGAAACAATTTTCAGAATATTGATGAAAAGTTAACTGCTACAGTGCAGGGAAGTGCTGCATTATTGACAACAAGGTTTAGTGAATGGCTTCCACATTCATTAAGTCTGTCACTAAACCTTGACCTAAACCTAAAACACAAGGAAAAAATAATGCTTGTGGGTTTTTTGTTAAGGATTCTTTTTTGTATGTCTACATTCTTTCCCTTCATGTTTGACCCATTATCATAAACTTGACCACGCATATTTTGTAAAGATATTTCATTTTTAAAACCTCTACTAACAAGCAAGTTATCAATCCGTGCCCAGATGTATCTAAGACCTGAACAAATCCGAGAAAATGTTCCCTTACGTTTACTTCGGAACTGCATAAACAAACAGAACAGCAAGTATCATTTGTTCTTTATAACGTTAACAATGCAGTAAAGAATTATATAATAACACAAAGTTTACTGCAGTTAAACTCAGTAACTTTACAGGAACAAAGACCAATAAACTTATTTTTAATTTTTTTTTGCCTAATAATGTAAACGAGTTTTAAAAGAACAGTGTTAAATTTTGAAAGGTCTTCAACAAGTTTTCAAAAATTGTTTTATTTGTAAACTGTTATACTTGTTCACGAAAAGCTAATCCTCGAGTACCAACGCGAATGTACCAACGAATTGCACAATGAAAAAGAAGAGTTAAAGCCAAAGTTTTTGTTTTAAAATTTTGAGACTGTAAATTTTCTCATGATGTCTTCTGCTCCTAAAGTACAAGGTTTTTAGTTTCGGTTTGTTATGATTTATAAAAATGGTAAAGTATAAACCCAACACCCAACATAAAAAAATATATATTATAAAAATAGAACACAATGGTTATTAAGACATAAATAACGGTAATCTATTAGCTCTTTAAGTTATTATTATTTTGTGGTTATTAACTAACTTCGTAGTAATAGATGCACTCTTATATCAAATCTTACCTGCAATAACTACTAGTTGTTGTTTGGACCGATTTATTGTCTTTCCATGTTTTTTGTGTTCTCTAACCATATCTGATTTGTGTTTTCTATAAAAAAAAGCCCTGAAGATTTCATTGCCTTATCGCCGAGCCCCTTATATATATATAAAAAAATTCTTCATAACCGTAACATACAAATATATATAAAGACATAAATCAGAATTAAAACAGAAAATATATAAGAAATTAAAGAAGTTCAAAATAGAAAATAATTAAGAAGTGTTATAATGCTTACAACCGCTAAAATGTATAAAAATACTTTAACAAAAATTTTCAAATAAAAAAATAATGTAAAATTTCATAATTTAAATAATCACTAGATAAATTTTGAACATCATCACTTAAATTTCATTGGTATAAATAAATCTGTTTTGAGCTTACTTTAAAATCGGAAAAATTTAAAGCTTACTTTAAAGTCGGAAGCATTTAAAGTCGGAAAAATTAAATTCCCTAAACAGTAATAATCTTTTTGATTCATTCTTGAATTGCTCTAAGGTAGTCTTGTTTCTGTTGACAATATCTAGGAATTTTTTCCACAGATAAGGTCCACGGTATTTAATTGAATAGGAGGTTAATTTTAAATTATATTTGAGTAGAACAAAGTTGTTATCTGGAAACTTAGTTGAATACTTATGATTAATTTTATTAAAATAGATTTAAAAGATTTTTGGGGACAATCCTATCTTTGTTTTAAACATAAACAATAAAACTTAGAGTATATTGAGTTTATACACATTTAAAGCACCGAGCGCACGTAAAAGTGGTTCGCAAAGAGTATTTCTACAGGCTCCAAACACTATTCTGCTCGCATGTTTTTGTTTATTGTAAATTTTCTCAAGTTTTGTATAGCCAGTACTAGCCCACACAATATAACAGTAAGACAAATAACTGTGAATAAAAGCAAAATATAACTTTCAGGGATGCTACATTTAGAAAAGGTTTAGCCTTAAACATCAATGTAATATTTTTTGAGAGTGTCGTTTCAATACTATTTATATGTGAACGCCACAGTAAATTTTCATCCAGTTTTACTTATAAAAAGTTTACGTATATTTCCCTTTTAATATGAGTATTATTAATTATAAGATTTGGTAGTTTAAGAGAAATGTTTTCTGATTTATTTAGTCTATGGAAAAGTATATATTTTGTTTTATCCATATTTAGTGAAAGTTTGTTACTTACAAACCATTCATTAACTTTACATAACTGTTCATTCACTATTTTAAAAAGTGTTTTAATATCTCCGTGAGAACAAAAAAGATTGGAATCATCAGCAAACAAAATTAGTCTAAAAGATATGTAAGTATAAAATAGTCTAAAAGATAAGTAAGTATAAATCGTTTATGTACAATAGAAGCAAGAGTGGTCCGAAAAAAGAGCCCGCCGAACACCGCAAGTTATGGAATATGGAATTATGTTATTTTGATCATAGTACAAAAATTGCTTTCGGTTTGTCAGATACCCTTTAAACCAAAGTTGGTTTTTAGTTTTCACTCCGTAGTTTTCAAGTTTTTTTATTTGTTTATTGTGATTTACTGTATCAAAAGCTTTCGACTGATCAATGAAAACTCTTAATGTAAAACAGCCCTTATCAAAGGCATTAGATATTTGATTGGAAAGTTTAAAATATAGTTTAAAAAAAGTTTAAAACATAGTTTAAAAAATAATCTATAGCGCCCCTAAATGTAAATTTACGATTACAATAAACATTTAACATACAAAAAAAAAAAAAAAAAAACGATTTAAATAAACAATCAACTCACAAACTTGTTTTTTCAACAATTAACTCACTACTACGCTTTAATCTAATTATTTTTTATTTAAGTGCTTAGCAAAAATGTACAAAATTAATAGTGTAACATATAAAATTTGGCACCCCTTATAGTACTTGTTACTTGTACACATTATGGACGCCAAAAATCATATTAAAGTTTTTTTAAAATCAAAATTATGATTTAAAAAAGAAAAAAAGACGTTGGCTGCGCCAGCGCGGCGCCCCAGCCATGCTGGCGCACTATGCGACTACATAGTTCGCATGGCCCTTGCATCGGCCCAGTGTATCACATAAATATTTTACTAAAAATCTTATAAAAATAATATTAAATAATAAAAGTTTGACTAACTATGTATTTTTTTAAAGCAGAAATTGGATGAAAGGGTAACAGTTAAGCATTTTAATTGCATTTTATGTTTATTAATTATTGGCAAAACATTAATAGGTATTTGAATTTTAAAAGCATACTGCTTAAAATTATTTCAATTTATAAACTCTAGCATCCCCATTATTTTTGTACTTGGTTTATATAAGATCAAAGTATCCCCAAAATTATATATATTTTTTCTAAATTTAAGTTTTCAAACTTCTTACTCCCCTTCCGCCCCTCAAAAATCGCAAACTGGTTACGCGGAACAAGAATTTTGCTGCTGGCAGTTTTTTAACTCATATTTTGTTTGGAATCTTCACTATGGCCTCAGGTCTACCAAGACGAATCACTAAAGTACTTTCCTTTTTTTTTTATATTTTTATATATTTTTTCTATTATTAAGTTAAATTCTTAAAATTATATGCAAGCAATATTCGAATGAAAACTGTTTTTAATAAGCAAATAAAGCAGAGTTAAGGTTTAATTTAGAGTTTGATTATGTTAAAAAAAATTAAGTAATCTTGTTTCCATTGTTGCATGTTACTTTGACTAAAGGTATGCAATATGCAATCGTTTGAATAAGAATTAGATACCTGGGAACAACATAAATTATATACACATTCGAGTAAATGTTCATTATGTAGAGTATGTCAACATATAAAGTTGTTTTTTCTAATCTCAAGTTGCTTATATATTTGTAGTTTTATACTTATTACTTAATTTTATACTATATATATATATATATATATATATATATATATATATATATATATATATATATATATATATATATATATATATATATATATATATATATATATATATATATATATATATATATATATATATATATATATATATATCTGTGTGTGTGCATGTGTATGTATCTGTTTTAGACAAGCTTTTATTGCACTTGAATTCCCAGCAAAGCCTGGGAGTAAATGAATGCAAGTGAAATAAAAGTTTGTTTAAAACAGATTTGGTGGGCTAGGTGATGTGTCTTGATAGTTTTTTTTAAGTAGCTATTAGTGTTTTCACAAGCTTTTTTTTTTGGTAAACAAGATCATGAAAAAATTAAATTTGTTTTTATAAATAATTAGGTTTTGATATTTTTGATAGTCACACTGTTTTAATAGTCATATTGTTTTGTTTTCTCTTTACTGTTTTATTTTTTTGATTGTTTTCTTTTCTCTTTGCTCATTGTTTTAATTGTTTTTTGTAGTCATTTTTTGTACTGTGTTTTTTTCCTCTGTACTTTTTTTGTATTTTCTGTACTGTTTTGTTTTCTCTTTGCTTGTTTGGATCATTTCTGTTTTTTTTCTTTGCTTTGTTTTTATTTTTTGACCTTCAAAATATTTTTAGTTTCACATTTAGTTTGTTTTTTTATTACTTTCCATTTTGTTCTGTCTTTTATTCAGAGATTTAATTTTAAGAGTTTACAAATATTTTTTTTGTGGGAATAATCAAAAATATATAAACAACCTGCATTTTATCACATTTCCTTAATTAAGCATGATAGCATTTTCTTAAAAATTATTAAAATCACTCAAAACGTTTTAACAATTTTTTATTTTTAGACAAGGTTCAAAAAGACATTATAAATGTAGTTAGACCTGCGTTATCTGCCTTACTTAAGCCGATCTTCTATTGTTGTAAGGTTGCACTCTTTCTCTTTATACAAATACTATCATGGTCACTGCTCAAACAAACTATTATTTCTAGTTCATCTACCTTCATGTCATTCAGCAAAATTGCATCTTTTTAATGTATCTGTCCCTCCATGCTCTAAAAAATTTCCATCTAGTTTCTCTCTCCACATTTTAATGCTTGGAACTCTATCCAAGCATTAAAATGTGGAGAGAATTCCAAGCATTAAAATGTGTAAACAAGAAAATGGTTCACAGAAGTCTTCTGTGAACCATTTTCTTGCTCTTTAACACTATTCTTTTTTCTCTAGTTTTTCTTAACATAATAGTGGTTGCTTGCAGCCTTGTTGGGAAGAAGTTAGTATCAGAAAAATAAACAAGAAAAGAAGCAAAATACAATTATATTACAACATTTTTTATCATACATCCTTAATTACAATATTCATTTATTTCTGTTGTTCTTTGTGAATAAAAATGTTATAGAATATGAAAAGTTTCTAAATTGCACTAAATTAACTTTTAGCAAAAGAGTGATAAAATGGAGGCTATATATTAATTTCATGTGAATTTATAAATTTTTAAATAAATGATACTTTCAGAATATTTTTATTTATGAAACTCAAGTTTTAACAAATTTTTATGGCTGTTTACAAAAACAAGTTTTATTCAAATTAATATTATATTTATTTTCATTTTATAAAAAGAAATATATAGTAAACTAATAAAAAAAGTATTCACACATAGTAAGTGACTGTGGTTGAAATTTTTCCCGGGCTTGGGCTAATATAAAATAGGCGGGGCCAGGTTTGTGACCGGAACTACATAAATACTTATATATTAAGTGTATTTTTTAAATTTAAAATTTATGTTATAATATATATATATATATATATATATATATATATATATATATATATATATATATATATATATATATATATATATATATATATATCATCTAAATAATAGCAAACATATATGTTTATATCAATATATATCCATATTATGTATGCATAAATGTGCATTTACCTAACCTCCTGAGTATGAGCAAGTATAGAAGCTTTTATTTATTTATTTTTTTTTGATTTTAAATCAAGCCTCATTCTACTTCACATTTATTACTTTCTTGTGCATTAGCTATAATAAACAATTATCATTTTTTTCATCTTTTTTACAAGAACATCTCTATCCCAGCAGGAACACAACGTTGTATTAACGTTTTATTTACGTTAAATTTTATGTTAGTACAATGTTGCCTGTTCGGCAAAATAGAAAGGTTTTGTAACGTAAAATTCTTATGTTAGATTAACGTTAGATATTAACGTTATATTAATGTAAAATTCTAAAGTTAGATTAACGTTATACTAATGTAAAAGTTGGAAAAACATTGGCGTTTTATTTTAACGTAAAATATTGATTGTAATTGTGTAATATTTAATGTTAATATAGCTATAGTTATATTCATATAACCCTGAGGCAAAGCCTTTTATACACGGCTTCGTGTCATGGTTATTATATGAATATAACCGTATATATTAACATTAAATGTTAAAAACAATTTCAATCAATATTTAAAGTTAATATAAGGGTTTTTAACCCCTTACAAAGGGTTAGAAAAATAGTTTTGGGGATATTCAAACTAAAAATACAATAAATGTTTTGAAAGAGTTTTTTTAAATATGTATTATATATTCTTTTGTATTATAAATTTACAAAAAAAACTCAAAAATAAATAATTGTTCAATGGAGAGAACTTTAAAATGCTTCCTATTTGATCTTTTGTTTGCTTACATCCAACTCTCGTGCGTTAGCTGGATGGCTTCTAAAATACAACATGGGATACTGTAAACGGGATAACAGTTAAAAATTTATTTTGTTTAAAATTGACTATTTGTTTGATTTTCAACGCTAACATTCAAGGTTCAAAACTTATATATATCTAAGAATAAAAAACATATGTAAGAAGGAAGGGATAGATAGAACAATATTGAGCTATTATTAACGTACCAAAATTATTGCTTTACACAACTTTTTATCTTCGAATGATACCTTCTTTATATCACCACGAATTTTGCTTTTCATATTGAACTTGGGCTTAACATGATGCCCCATAATTCTATAAAAACGTAATAAAAAATAATAAATGAAAAATAACTATTTTGTTATACTACATCAATCGATCCAGCAAACTTATTTAATTAATTGTAAACACACATTAGAGTAATAATTTACAAAGTATAATTTTGAAAGGTTTTTTACTTTTTTATAAATGTTTTATATTCAAAATTTTGACATCTGAAACCTGTAGGGGAGAACCTAAATGAATGGGGCAGTTTTTGTAAAAGACTATTTAAAAGTTGATAAAGTTGTCTAATTTATACATTGGAAATTGTTTGTTCCGCCAGGAGAAATGTGCTATTAGTTTCCATTAATGATTAATTTTAATGTTATGTTTGGCCCATCATGTTTAGGCCATGATAGGAATAATGATTTGGTCTGTTGAATTGTTGTGTTTAACATTTCTTACCTAGGAGTTTTTTACTAATTAACCTTAGATGCTTGTAAGCAAATTTGATTTTATCCCATTCAATCAGCGTTCCGTTCATTATAGTTCTCCCCAAATATTAATATTAAAATTGTTTGTTTTTCTAAATTACTTTCCTTAGGTTAAATTTTTCTATTAAATTTACTCACAATTTAAATGGTTTGATTATCCAGAGTTAAACAAATATACATACCTGATCATAACATTTTTTGTATTTTCTTTAACCTTTTTTCCACCTGCTTTCTTGAGGTGACAAAGCTAAAACATTAATAAAAGTGAAAAGTTCATGTTCGAATAGTAAAATAGTGAAAAGTTCATGTTCAAATAAGACAGGATTAGATTCGTTTGGTTGTTTGTCACAGTTGTTCCATAAAAGCAACAAAATAATTGCTCAACCAAATATAAGACAAAATTGTTTAACAAAAAATAAGACTGTGAAAAATTCTACAGAATGTAAATGGCTATCAAGTCACTAAAATAATTCTCGATTTATGCCTTGTATAAATTTACCTTTTACACCATATTTTGGTAAAATGTTAGAGCAATTTAAATAGGTTCATCAAGAAAATGATGAAATTAAATAGGATTCTATCAAACAGACAAACTTTAAAAATAGAAATTATAAATCTATATTACCAATTTTCAGTACTCTCAGTTGTCTTTTAATCTGGTTTCAAGTTCATAAAATTCTTCAAGGGACTCAATCTTTTGAAAATGGTTACGCTTACCTTTCCTGACGTTTTATTGGCACATTTGCAACAATTTTTCTCAAAATGTAATTGAAGTTATTGTCCTTGTGCATTTTGGTAAATCAACATGATGACCATGCTGGTGTAAAATTAAAAATAACAGTTCATCACTTGCATTTCTAGTTATTCTGTGTTTTAAAATCCATTTGGCAATCTCTGTAACAAGTACTCCATCTTTAAGATCTTCGTTATCATCATTCATAGGAACCTCAGAGTCTAGATCAGAACTCTCAGTTTCAGAAGTATCTTTATGATCAGACACAAAATAAAAGTCACTATACAGCGGTGGCCAAAAATTAAAGTCTTTGTAATACAATAACAATATATTGTTATTGTAATAAAAAAAATTATTTTAATGTCAAAATTTAATAAATGTTTTGACAGTCCAGTCTCCGCAATATGTGACCTTGAAAT